CATGCACATCGGTAGATATAGATTATGCAAACGAGTACTTGATTTTATACATACTAGACAATACTGTAATTTTATACTTGCTGTATTTGGAAGTTGCGTAAACATTGTCAAAGTAAGCAAATAAGATATGGCCGGCCTAAAATAACCCAGGCATCGTAACGTAAGCAAGGTGAGACATTACTGGTTGTGCATAAGGGAACCATTAAGAGCCGATGTCTGTAAAAACCAAGCAAATCAGAAAAAAAGTGGCCAAACTCAAAAAATCAAATTCTCTCAAACTTTGTGTGGTGGTAGGGCCTTGACCCAAACTTACAAAAATGGGTAAGTTTTGGACGCCTGGTTATTTGTTGCCATGGCAACGGCCATTTTTGAAAATGGCGGATTTTTACCTTGTGGAGGCATAAGTCTTGCCCAAAATGGATCATCTTTTACCTTCCGTATCTCACATATCTCCTTGCGTGTAACATATTTTATGATCCATATTGTAACTAAGAAAATGATATGAAGTTTTGCTCGAAATGTTTTGTGGTGAGCTGTAGCAGACGTTTAAAAATAGGCGTGTTTTGTAAAATTTCAAAATTGAGAAAAAGCCATTTTTAGGACGTTTTTAGTGAACCATGGCCGCTTAAAAGGCAAGTAGAATTAGTTCATTTTTGGCACAGTTATGGCTATAACCTTTGTCTACAACATATCAGAAAACATTTTTGGGGTCTCCATGGGGGGGAGTACAGTGACCCCTAGACTAAACCATTATTTCCATTGTGAAAGAATCCCAACCGCTGCATTATAAGTGAAAAAAGCATCCACAGCATGGCTATACAGTAAAGAAAACGAAATCTAAAGCTTTTTTCAAGTGCTAAGGAAACCTACCTCGCACTTACAAAAGTTGTTTTCTCTGGGCTGACAACGGGTTACCATGGCAACAGTTATATGGGGAGGGGGGCGGTGTTTTGAGGCCCACGGCCACTTTCTTGTTGTATAATGTCTGAAAAGTTTAAACTAGAACCACCAAACTTGGTGACTTTTCCTCAAATAAATTTTGCAATAATTTGATATTCATACTTTCATGTTGCCATGACAACTGGTTGCTGACAGGCATATTTTGCCAAATTCAGCAATTTCAGTATAAGAATAAAATTTCCATTTTTTTTGTTTTAAAATTTTTCCTCTTATCAAACATTCATGACATTACTGTAAGTTCATATAATTTTTATGATTACAAATTTATAATTTATGTTAATTAGATGACGTCATTGGTCAAAGTCTAAGATGGTGGACTATAACTCGGATATAACAAGTTTTTCCTCTTAAAACACTAAAACACAAGATTTTTTTAATCATGGGGCAAGGAAAGGTACCTTGGACAAAGGAAGTAGATTCTTGCTGGATTGACAAAGAGTTGCCAAAGGTAACTCTTCTTTTTTAAATGGCACTAATCATTTCTATTTATATATATAATGTTGTTGTAGCATTCACATAGACCAACAGTATCCCTATGGCAGAACAATGCTGTCTGTTACCACTGTGGTAATAATGCTGTTGCAAACATCCTGACAAAATGTGGAATTTCAATCAAAAAGGTAGATTTTTAGAACTGGGATAAGCAGAAAACATAGGCACAGGGTGATTGATGTGATTGATAATGAGGCTACATCATCAAATGTAAAGAAAGATTTGCTAGATATTTTTGATTTACTACTCTACCAACGGGTTCAGCATTGAAGGGTGCCAGGAGGACAATAATTGTACCATACCAACCAGTGGCCTACCACCCAGGGACCCGAAAGGATCAACCCTGAATCCCGCCAAGAATCCAAAAGCTGCCCGGCCAGAATGTAAGAGCCGGTCGGCACCCTACCGCATCCCGCATGGGTCAAGACGGGAGACTGAACGGGCACCGGACTGGTCCCTAACAGAAACCGTCAAAGGGACCAAAAGTTTGTGAATTTTAAATAGAAGCCGTCTTAGCGCCCCGACAGGGAGCCGTAAAGGAACATTTGATTGTGACCCTGACAGTCTGCGCACGCTCGGCTTCATGACACCGGCCGGCGTCTACACCAGGAACATGCCGAGCATGTGACTCCAGCTTAAGTAGGGTTCATGCAGCATCAAAAATGAAAGAAAAATTCGTTTAATGATAGAAATTATATGAAATTACATATGCCATAAATTCCAAACACCAAAAGGTGCAATTTTACTAGAAAAAAATTGAAATTTCATTTCTTAAACTGCATGAAATTACGGAATTTTGTTTGTCAGCAACCCGTTGCCTTGGCAACATAAAAATATTGATTTTCATCTTTAAAATAAAATTATTGCCCAAGTTATTTAAGGAAAAGTCACCAGGTTTGGTGGTTCTAGCTGAAAATTGCTAGACATTATACAATAAGAAAGTGGCCTCGGGTATTGAAACACCGCCCCCCTCCCCATATGACTGTTACCATGGTAACCCGTTGTCAGTCCAGACGGAATGAACTTTTGTTAGTGCAAGGTGGGTTTATTTACCACTTGAAGACAGCTTTAGTTTTCGTTTTCTATGCTTTAAAAAAGTTTTGAGAGTTTTAGCGTTTTAAGAGAAAAAAAACGTAATATCCGAGTTACTGATGGTCCACTATCTTGTCCAATGACGTCTCTAATTAACATAAATCATATATGTGTAAACAAAGAACTTACATAAACTTACAGGA